CAAAACTAACTCCATTAGTCTTTCAAAAGAAGTGGCAGGTGCATTGCATAATCCAAACGGCATGCCGTTAAATTGATATAGGCCGTTTCCTGCAGTAAATGCGGTCTTCTCTTTATCCTCTTTATTGAGTTCCACCTGCCAATATCAACTTTTCAAGTTCAGGGTTGAAAACCACTTGGATCCTGATAGGGTGTTAAGGGTATCATCAATCCGGGGTAATGGATAGCTGTCTTTCTTCGTAACGTCATTCAACCTTCTATAATCCACACTAAACCTGGTAGAACCATCCTTTTTCGTAACTAGTACGACCGGCGATGACCATGGACTATTAGATTCGTCTATGATGTTATCCTTCAGCATTTTCTTAAGCATGGTGTTAACTTGCTGTTGCTTTGCGAAAGGGAGTCTTCGTGGTGGTTGGCGAATGGGTGTAGCACTTCCTGTGTTGATGCGATGATCTACCAAATTAGTTCGTCCAGTAATTTTATCTTGCACAAAAACACCAGCCTCTTTCTGCACAAAGTCAATAGCTTTCTTCTTTTCTTGCTGGCCTAAGTGATTCCAGTTCTTTTCAAACTTCTCCAGAAGCACTATTGCTAAATGTGCTTCATTTGACACAGGCTCCTCCTTTCCGCATCTGACTACTCGTATAGCTAGTGTACATCTGCCAATCACGTCTCCTTTCTTCAATGTCACACGGTTTGTTTTTAGATTGGCCACTCTCATTGGAAAAACATTGTTGGAATGCACTAAACAATATGCCACAAGTGTTCCGTTCTGCACGTTTCCTGTTGGTTCCATGATCATGGTGTTCACGCCTTCTAGCTCTTTTTTAGGTGCGCCCGCACATTCGACTCGCTGTTTCCAGGAATTCGTGTATCTTCATCAACGATTATTCTAATTTGACAGTCTTTATTTGACGGTGATGAGAAGAGTATTTCTTCGTTGCCCACTCTCAATATTTTATTTTTAAAGTCCACTGATAGGAAATCAAAGGTTTCTAGGACATCCACTCCCAATATAAATTCATCCACTATGTCAGCGACTATAACTTCTACGTTAAGTTCGGTGCTGCCTCCCAATGTCACAGTGGTCTCTCCAAAAACATTTATCAAATCTCCCTCAGCTGTTTCTAGCAGTGGTTTAATTCTCAACATCATTACAGAGTCCTTAGAAACCTTGTCGGGGCGAACCACTGATCTTGATGCCCCTGTGTCGATGGTCAAATCACATTCCTTACCGTTGAGGGTGCCTTGGTCAACGAGAGACTCACAATTCTTCTTGATGGAGAACACCCTTACTTTGGGGGCTCGAGAATCGGTGGTCGCTAGCATTCGCCCCCTTACACTGGCGAGGTGGCGTTTCCCTGATGATGTCTGGAACCACCTTCTTCCTCCTCTTCACGATCTCCTGACCGGGAACGACGTCTACAGTATCTGCTAATATGTCGTTCTCGGCCGCAGTTGTAGCATTTGATCTGTTTTCTGGCTCTTGGTTTTTGGTCTAATTTCGCGCAGAATTCCTGAAACAGCGCCTCCAGTTTTAGGAACATATCTGCGTCTGAGTTTGGGCGATCCTCTGCCCTCTTCACTTCCCTGACCTTGCATCTTCGATTTAAAGAGGCATTTTTGGCAGCTTCATATTCCAATGCATGGACAACGGTGTCAGCTAAGGTGTTTTGCCTACTCGTTCTCAGTGCTTATTGCAGGTCTGTATCTTTTTCTTCATCGATCATAGAAAGACAGGAAATCATTCCAACTCATCAATTTGGATTCCGCGACAAGCACTCTACGATCGACCAAGTACACAGAATAACGAATTTCATAGAAAAATCGCTGGAAGAGGGAAAAGTCTGTTCCGCAGTTTTCCTCGATGTAGCGCAAGCATTTGACAAAGTTTGGCATGAAGGCTTAAACTATAAACTAAAGCTGTTTCTGCCAAAACAATATTCTGATATTTTGGAATCATATATGTGTGATAGACATTTCAGAGTCAAACAGGAAGATTTTGAGTCAAATTTACGAAAAATAAAAGCAGGTGTACCTCAGGGTAGCGTGCTAGGTCCCTACTTATATTTATTATTTACATGCGACATCCCAAAACCAGAAAATTGTCATTTAGCAACATTCGCCGACGATACTGGTTTAATTACAGTGGAAAAAAGTATTGAACAATCAACAGAAAAACTGCAGAACGCTGTCAGTGAAGTTCAAAATTGGACCAAAAAATGGCGAATAAAATTGAATGAAACCAAATCAATTCACGTTGATTTTACAAACAAAAACGTAAATCACATACAAATCACAATTAATGACACCCCTATACCATATTCAAATGGAGCTAAATATCTTGGTATGACGCTTGATGCGAAATTGCGCTGGAAAGCACATGTTAAGAAAAAAGGCAAGAGCTTGAAATTAAGTATAGAAAAATGTACTGGTTGATTGGAAGGACGTCCAATTTAACCATACATAACAAGTTACTACTTTATAGGCAAATACTGAAACCAGTATGGGCATATGGAATTCAACTTTGGGGTTGCACTAAAGATAGTAACATACAAGTTATTCAAAGATTCCAAAATAAAGTACTAAGAAACATTGTTAATGCACCTTGGTACGTTCGAAATAGTGATCTACATCGGGAACTAGGAATTGATACTGTAACAGAGACTATAAGAAAGTACGCAAAAAGCCATGCAGATAGACTACATCGGCATGTGAATGTGGAAGTGATTGAGCTCCTAGACAATACTGAGCTAGTTAGAAGACTGAGAAGGGTGAAGCCGTTCGAGCTAGTGAACTGAAATTGAAAAACACAACAAAACAGTGCTATAAACACATCAAAATTGTGATTTACAGTTTAAGCAAAGTGGGGAAAACTGTTGAGTGAACCTCAAGAATTGTAAACTTTATAGTAAATTAGGTTAAAACAAAATTGCTAATTAGTCTTACTGACTAGATTGTAATGTAATAAACACAATGTGTTTGACAAATAAAAAAAAAAAAAAAAAGATAAACTGTTGGACATTTATCTGTTCAATGAAGTCTTCAGGAGCTTGTGGATACGCCAACCTCACCATTCTCTCGATGTCGCTACTAAATTCTTGCAGTGTCTCAGATGGACCGTGGACTCTGCTTTTGAGTTAACTCTGGTAGACTTGACTGAGATAACTGTTTCCGTACCTCAGCTCTAAGGCTCCTACAACAGCTGCATAATCTGTTCTGTGAGGTGCTTATTACAGGAATTCGATAGCACCTGCCTCAAAGTCCCAGCACAACACAAACTGCTGTGTATACGAATGCCATTCCCGAAAAGATGCAGACAGAACTATTCATTTTCACTATTTTCCTAAGAAAAATAGTGATCGCGTGAAAATTTTGAATGTACTGGGATAAGAAGAGGTGATAGATCGGAGAAAACCTGTGGCCAAACTCAAAGACAAGCCTCCATTTTCCACATTTCGTGTTGTATGGATACGAAATGCACAAAAGAGAGTCACAACGTTCAAAATTTAAAAAACATAGTAAAAAATCACCGAAAAAACTACGAGAACAACAAGAAAATTAGCGAAAGAAATAAGAATGCATATAAATACAATGCTGAACGTCAACTGTAGTTACAGGGGGCAATCAAAAAGTACAAGTGGCGGGTTTATAACAATATGATGAGAATTTTTTGAGGGCCGCGACAAAGACTCCATGCTTGACCACAGTCTAGTAAAAAATCAGAGTTTAGTGCGATCGCCATCAAAATTTTCTGAAATGATTGCGTGAATATCTGACATAGTATGATTATAGGAGCGTGATTGTCATCATTATTTGGATGTAGGGATTCTTGAGGGGATTCGGGACGTGAGCTAGCTTGACTTCGGGTATCAGGTACAATAGGCATGATGATAAGTACGAAATAAAATCTAGAAAATGCTTCTGAATACTTGTCCACTTACGATGCTGGCAGATGCAATCTGGAACGATTGATATCACTCTGCATCGCTTTTGGTTTCACCCTAATCCGATCCTCGTGCCCAAAATGTGTTAAGTTCTTTTATTTAGTTGTAACGTTTATTAACGTTTATTAAACAATTACACATCAAAACGTAACCTATTAGTACTAAAACCCGATTAACAATAAATAAGTCGGGATTGACATTAAAGTTGAAGTTGAAAAAGTCCCGATTGACAATTTTGTTCGGAGGTTGATTCAAGAAAAATCTTTCAGGAAAAAGCTGTAAAATAAAATATAATATGAAAACTTAATAACTATGCTGAGTAAACGGAATGCTGAATAAGCGTGCTAGCTGCGTTGCAGGTCAGTGGCGCGACAGTAGTAGCAAAGCAGTGGCGTAACATAACACTGTTTTATACATAAAACTCATAGGCATCAAATAAAAAACAGTGTAACTACTTATGATGACATATTCGATCATCAAGCATTTTGAACAAAATAACTTCTAAAAATATCAGGAAAACTTCATCCCGCCGCTTTCAAAGGACCCGCGATCGATAAATATAGGTACTAATTTTCGATGACTGGACTTGACACTCATCTTACATGGTCCACTTGCCTACACTCTTTATTGATTCGTGGTCTATAAGCGTAAAATAATTTATTAGACGTGATGCAATTTATAGGTAATTCAAAAGAAATTCCTGGGAAATCCTTTTGGGAAAATGACTGTGTTTAAATGCGGGGCGATACTCTATCGTTCGAGATAAGAACAACCGATTAACATTTTCGAACTTATCAAAAAAATCTCAGTAGTAAATCTCTGTGCGACTTTTGATGTTATAATTAAAAGATTGAGTCTTAAATCTCTAATCCACAGGCCTATAAGCACAGCTTCATTAATAATAATTACTTGTAGACTCTTGTCCCAAAAATTGAGTGTCTCATTAGAACTAGATGAAATAACTAAAGTTTCAGCTAATTTTTATTATATTGCACATGTCAAAACTAATCTAATTCATAATTTAAAAAGTCCTAAAATCAATACTAGTTCAAATGTTGATGAAATTGTAATTTTCCATAACAACGCCATTGAAATTTTCCTTCCCATTGTTATTGCTGTAATTTAACACAGACCTTCTCATATCGTCCATTCTCAGCTTATGTTCTTTCTCAATTGTCCCGAAAGTTTTCCATATTTTAGCAAGTTGTTGTTGGCATTTAATATCATATTCCATAATTTTGGCATAACTCGGTAGATGGTCCTCATAATAATTTTGGGAAAGGTCGGTTAGAAGGTAATGCTTCTGACCGTTGTCCATTTTTTCATGGTCTTTCATATCGTTAAGTGTATTAGACATTTTTGAAAAAATCTTTGACTTGAGATCTCTGACAAAATGATAAATGACTATAAATCATTGTTGAATTGCCATAGTAACCAAAACAGTTCAGGTAATCAATCAGAAGCAATCTGCTCTTCCCCTGCATATTTGAAAATGTCAGACATAGGTAATAGGAAGAAATTATTCTTCGTTTATTAAATGAATACATGAGCTCTCTTTGTCCCTATACAGTAACTTCTTTCCAGTATACTCTGTTGATTTTTTCAAAAAACTTTTAAAGGTTTTTTCACACTACAATTAGATTGTTTAAAAGTTTATGTAAGTACGATAATCGCCAGTTCTGCCTATATAAAGTCGACATAATAGGGCAAAACCATCAACAAAATCGTTTAACTATAAATGAAAAAGAAAAGCTTCGTCTCTTTATAATTAGTTTCAGCCTTCATGAAAAATTTATTTTTAGAATTTACAATATACGTCTCCATCTTACGCGAATATTAAATTTTGAAGCTGAATACCAGAACATAATATACGGAATTTTGCAATAAACCTCGAACACCTTTGGCTGCTGGTAGAAGGCACATGATTTATGGTAAAAACAAAATTCTTCTGTAGTAAATTCAGATTTAAAATACTTATTTGTATGGTCTTCGCAAATAAACTGAAATGTAAAACTCATAAACTAAATGCTTCGTCTTTAGCCTGTTATCATCCATCTTAAGGCATAATAGTTTCCCTCCCAGTTTCCGCCGGCGAACTCTATTTTGAGCCACTTGTCTCGAGTGCCGTAAGTTTGACGTCGTCGATTCATCTCATCTGATTCTGTGGTCTGCCTTTTGATTTGTGCCTAGTGGTCTTTTGGTGTAGCCGAATTAATTCTCGGAAAGCTGGAATTTGTCTTAATTTTTTCATTTACGTGTAAGAAGAGTTTTTTAAAGTTTTCACATCAGATTTTCTGATTGTGCTGTATACGGGGTGTCGTGTCTCAAAGACCTGGACATTTGCTAACTTTTCACAGTTTTTTCCTAATAACCCCTAAAGGATGCATTTCTAGGAAATTTTCACTCATCTATAAATTAAAGTACACAAAATGAGTAGCACATACTTAAAATTGTTTCAAGTGGTTAGGAAAATATGCAAAGTCAAACAGCGATGATAGGTTCCATTAAAAAAAAAAATGTTTAATTTTCTCAATATTATCTTGTAGGAAAGCCCTCATTGCATACAGTCTAGCAACTTTTTCAGTTGGAGGAAGAGTAGTTAAGTTGAAATTATTCTGTACTTAGGATTTCGTGAACATTTTAAAGCGTGTTTCATTCAAAGAGGAAGATTGAAGAAGCGACCTGTCATATATAGCTGCAATTACTTTTTTACCGGCAGCACCAATTTCATCTGCAGTCGCGTCAAGGGTTTTGAATATCTCGATAGTACGTTGTACCTCCGCATCTTTGTCAAAGTCAACCAGCTTCACAAACTTCACCTTTCCGTGCGTGAAAATGGCTGACGTTGAATTGCATCCGCTGAATGCGCGAAGAAATATATTTTCTTTCACTTTATTCAACATTTTGGAGTGTCTCGGGGAATAGAAGATGGTCTCTGACCTTCCTTCTCCAGACTTCATCAAAAACAATCGATCGCTATTAGGAGTTAACGCAGTAATATTTACCAAAAGATCTATGTCGTCTATCAGAATCACACATGCGGAGTGTGTAGCATTTTCTGTAGCCCTTCTGACGATAGTTGATGGTTGTGTCAGCATCCTTGTTCGACGGCGATGTTTTCACCTGCAAATTTATGAATCAGCATTGATGTGAAGTGGAGGTACAACGCACTGTCGAGATATTCAAAAATCTTGACGCAACTGCATATGAAATTGGTACTGCCGGTAAAAAAGTAGGTAATTATGCCATATGCCAAATTGCTTCTTCAATCTTCGTCTATGAATGAAACACACTTTAAACTGTTCAGAAAATTCTTAGTACAGAATAATTCAACTTTGCTACTCTTAATTAATAAAATTAGACTAGATTTAGAAATGATCAAAAATCCCTTTTTTGAAAACGAAGGGATTTTTGATAATAAATATCAAAGTCTACTTTACCGCGCACTATGCGAAAAAGTTGACTTAACCACACACTATGTGGTAAAGTAACTTTACCCCATATTGTGCGGTAATAAGTGCAGTAAAGTGCACTTTCCACGCGCTCGTAGGTGAAAACTTTTATTTCATTTGGTACATTTAGATAACATTGCGAAAATAAGTAAAAGATAATTTTTTTTTTTAAATGGAAAATATCGTCGCAGTTTGACTTTGCGCATCTTCCTAACGACTTGAGACATAGTTGACGTAGTATAATATGGTACTCATTCGACGCAGAATTTTATGTACTTCAATTTATAGAGAAGTGAAAATTTCCTAGAAATGCAATCTAAGTGGGGGTGACAGCTACCCTCACATTTCAAATGGAAAAGGGGGCCGAGTGATACGTCATTTGGTAGCTATTTTTATTATGATTATATTCTCAAAGTTTGAAGTTGCTACTATTTACCCTGCCGAAATGACGGTTTGTCAAAGTTAGGAAAAATTCTTTTTCCTACAGCTGTGCGGAAAAATCGATTTTCCGCACTGATATGCGTGCAGAAAATGAGTTTTCCCGCACGGTGCGGTAAAACTTTTTTTTTTGACATATCAGTGCGGAAAAAGTTTTTCCGCACGGCTGTCAGTGCGGAAAAAATTTTACCGCACTATGTCAAAAAAAAAAAATTACATTTTTTTTCGCCTGTAGGAAAAATATTGTACCTAACACTTGCGGAAAATATTTTTCCGCACTTGTTAGGTAAATAGCTATTTCCTACGAGCGTGCGCAAAGTAGTACTTTTCCGCACGCATTTCCGGGCTCAAAGTTACACTTTTCCGCACTCAGTGCGGATACAGGCCTTATCCGCACTGAGTGCCGAAAAGTAATTATAATTGTCAAGCAACAATAAGTGCACCTGTCGACTTTGACACATGATGACAAATTTTTCCTCTGTTTCTATATCAGCTAACATCTATACAAACACCAAATATAAATTAACTTTGACACATTTTCAGATTTGTTCTCTATTTATATGCAAAAATCTACAAACTTTCTCATCAAATTTAAACGCTTTAAGATGAACAGCTCTGATGAGGATTTTCTGTTATTTTTTTTTGTTATGTAATTTTTTGATAAATGCATAGGTTCCCTTCAAGTTAATTGAAAATAACTAAACAAATTATCGTTTTTTTTTTTTTTAATTTTTGTCATTACCTACCTGATATGAAGCTCGTAGGAAAAATTTTGTTCCTAACACATGCGCAAAGTGTCTTTTCCGCACGCAAACACGTATCCGAACTCCGCTTCGCGTCGTTCGTATAACTGTGTTTGCGTGCGGAAGAGTAACACTTTGCGCACTTGTTAGGAAAATAACTATTTTATAGTATTTGAATTATGTGGTCTTTATCATATAATAACAAAACAACAGATTTTTTAAGGGTATCTATCGATAGTAATAAAATAACATTGGTAATTAATTTAAGTATTGTTATTCAACAGTTTTCAACCGATTTCAATGAATCGGGTGTCATTGGAAGATTTTTTTTCTGTTCAATAAAATGCATAACAAAAATAACAAAATTAAATTGTTTTGTTGCCGCTAGGAGGCGCTGTGTCTGAAAGTCGACAAATTTCCATTTTTTCTCGAAAATTTCAAATATAATGATCCGTTTTTTATAATTTAGATGGAAAGAGGATACAAAAATAAGGAATCTGGTGAAAACCGCAAGCCTGAATCTTTATCCTAGCCCAAAATATAAATAAACAACTATTTTAAGTAAAAAAATTTTTAGAAAAAAACCTTCTTGCCTTCCTTTTCGGGATAAAACAAAAAAATCTTATTTTTTACGGCACTATAAAATTAGTAAGAAGAAGAACTACTTGTGTGTCTGAAAGTAGCTGCCAATCCACGATATCAAGAATTGAAATGAACTGAACTATAGTTATTTACATTTTAAGCTGCGAAAGCGCACTTTTAGATGCGAGGTATATTTCGGCTATTTGAATACCTTCGAGCACCTAACAGGACTTATGCAGCGTGTGATGCGTTAAACTTTTCATCCTTTCCCCTCAAAATTCGCTAATAGGTATGCGAAAGTGAAACATGCTAGTAGCGAAAGTGAAAGTAACTACTAGCATGTTTCACTTTCGCTTTCGCTTGCCTATGCAAGATAAAAAAATCTACTTTTGTAGGGGGAGAAGGAAAAGGGATTTTGTAGCGTGTAACGTATTAAACTTTTCATTGTTCCCCTCAGAAATAGTATATTACATGCGGAGGTGGAAAGTGTTTCATTATTGTCGAGAGATACTATGGTTTACCGAGGTGCGAAGCGCCGAGGTCAACCAATTCTCGAGACAATAATGTGAAAACTTTCCACCGATTTATGTATACTATTTTATTTTGAACCATTAATTATTGAAAAAAAAATAAGGTAAAAATATGACAAAAATGGAATTTTGACTGAGAGTCTGACACCGACATTGACAATGGACGAATTCGTTATTGTCATCTTTTTCGTAGATTTGCTCCGAAATTTCAAGTGTTATGATTGTGTAGAAGCTTTCAACAGTGAGGAGAATAATACATTAATGTGATGACTGATGTTCCACCCTGGTGATTGGTTAGCCAACTCACTAGTCTTTGAAACTAAAAATTGTATTGCAGTGCATTGCTTAATGCATTACTAGCTCTAACAACCGTTGTCACTGTATACGTTCGATGGCATACCACGACGAGTTGTAAACCTTTGAAAGGTTTCCAATGATCCGTGACAATTTCAAAATGAATTGCCTTTTTGTAGGGCAGATAAACAGGCAGAGATAATCCTTATTTATTTTGCACCCACGCCTCTTACGGTCCTTAATAGAAAATGGCTCAGCGTCTGGTCTAACATGTTGAGATGGAAAGGCTTGCGAAACTCGACGCTGTGGTAGATTTCA